CGAGTTCACTCTAAAGCGCCCAGCAATACCTGCTTCTCTATATATGTAACCTTGTAAGACTTTCATATAATTCTTGAGTTTCCTGTAGTTTTCCCCTCCATTTTTTGAGATCATCGACGGCTGAGGATCAGCTATATAAAGTTCCAGCTATAGAAGTGCACGCTGCATTGCGGCCGCTTTGGCATGTCAGGAGCGGGGGAGGGGGCTGGGTCCGGTCCGGAGCCTGCCGAGATTCCATCGGCCATGGTCGCCTGCCACCTTCCACTACAGGTTAAGAGCGGGTTGGCGCCGCGCCTAACCCAGCCCATTGACGCGCTCCAGAGTTCGCAGCCAACGAGACTGTAATCCTGTTTTATTCAGGCCTACTATGCGTTGTTTATGTCGTTCTGCTTTCAAGGAACATCAGGACTTACTGCATATCGGGAAGTCAGGGCGAAAGCAAAGCGATCTGGGCTCAGCATTTTTAATTACGGTTGGTTTTGTTACTTATTTCGTAAAATGGAAACTTCTATGCGTGGATTTTAGTCACTGACGACTTGAAGCTGAAAATACACATTTATCTCAGTTGCTGGGTTCTGTATTTTTGAGCCTCTCGTTTGGCTAACGCTCCCATGAATGATTTTATAACCTTCGGCGGTTACCCACGAGAAGACCACACGGAGTGTTATGGTCTGTTTCATTCGGACCTGGTTTCTTAGCAGGGCTCCCTTCGCTGACAGGTTGTGGGAACAGTTGATCCTTTGAATAGGGTGAAACTGGTCGTGGAAAGTTGGCCCGGGCATGGTCGTGGAACGTGAAACTTTTTGGAGAGGACGAACGGTCTTCACAAGGAGCTTTTTGCCATCCCTTTCACGGTGAACAAAGTAAATAAGGAAGTTGTAGCTACCGTAATATGTTTCTACGGCGCAGTTCGGCGACGGGGGGGGGACATATTACGGTATCTACAACTTCCTTATTTACTTTGTTCACCGTGAAAGGGATGGCAAAAAGGTTCTTGTGAAGACCGTTCGTCCTCTCCAAAAAGTTTCACGTTTCACGACCATGCCCGGGCCAGCTTTCCGCGACCAGTTTCACCCTATTCAAAGGATCAACTGTTCCCACATTCTGTCAGCGAAGGGAGT